CCTTCTACTACTCCTCTCTCCTCTGCGGCTCGCGCTCTCTCTCTCTCTCACTCTCTTCCCTCGCTCTCTCTCTCCCTTTCTCTCAATTTCGCTCTGTCTCCGAGGCGGTAGTCGCTGCCGGACGGGGCTGTACGACTTGATTGTCTATACAGATGTCTGGATTCGCTGATGATCTTCGTAACACTAGCAAGACCGGTTTCGTGGAGCTAGCAAGAGGTTAACAGTTTTCATATAAGCTTCACATAAATGTTTATAACTATATGTTAATTCGGGTGCACTCCGGGCAGCCATGTTTATACATGTTAACTCGGTTTCCCAGCAGCGGCCAGCGATGGTAGAAAATTATGAAAATTTTTTCTAAAAAGCTGCTTGTCCGGCGGCAAGCTACCTGACAGATCTACTTGTCCTCCGTGAAATGGACAAGTACGGACAAACGGATAGCCCTATTTCGAACACTGGATGGCTACTCCAGGACTCTTCTGCGAAGAAATGTTCGTGGGATCGGTTAATGAGAGTTGCCCACGAGATGGCGCGTAACGTTTGAATGTCGTAAGATTAAAGATGGAAGCTGGAAGGCTTCCTCGCTACGTAGTAAGCAACGAACCTATTTTCAAGAGAGATAAGTAAAGCACTCTCCATTTACCCTATACGAAAGCTACAGGCTGAAATAGAGAGCTGCCACATGTAACTAAATTAATACGCAGGCAAAAACTACACCATACTATCACCACCGACATGCACTGCAGTGGCATAATTAAGTACATGCTAACACACTGACAGTAACAGAATGCCAATATAGACAATTATACGATTTTAAGGGAGCATATGAAGCCTTTCTTTCAAGCAAATTTAGCTTTCAAATTTTCACTGTGACATTGGAGCCTCATACATCCAGGCATGTTATAGATTCTTACTAGCAAACCGGCGTCAAATTCTTCTAACAGTAAACAAATCCATGTATTAACTCCTCCTCTTGAGTGCGTCAAAAGGTTATCAGACACTTACTCTTCGCCACGTCAGTGGAAAGCACATTTCATGCGTCTTTTAATAAAGCCATAAAATGGTAGGTCCACCGCTGAAACAAAAGGTTTTTCAATCGCTCTGTCACACCCTGTCCCAAGAAAATGTCTAAAATCTGCCCTGTGCCCATTGACCTTTGACCTGTGACCTCCAATTTCGGCATAGTGATGGCTTTTCCTACTGATGCTATACACCGACTATCACGAGCCTAGCGTCGAGCCGGTTTAGATTTGTGCGCGCAATTCTGCCATTTCCTCCCTATACCTTAAGTTAAGGAGGGGAATGTTCCCCCTTCTTTTACACCTCTTGACTTTGACCTTTGACTCAGCTTCGAATGGGAGGGTGCTCTTGATTCGTTTGCCCCCGAGTTTAGCATCAGAACACCTGCCGTCAGGTGAGCGCTGTCGCTCTGCGGCACTTTTTATATGAGGTATGTTTAGGGTTAGGGTTAGGGTTAAGGCCGTCGCACACCTACCCAAAAATAGGTCTGATTAAAAAATCTCTTCATCGTTTGTAAAATCGGCTGTAAAATGTATCATGTAGCTGTACCGGTGACGGCGGTGTATCCCCTTCGCTCCCGCTACAACTTACAAGTACAACAAGAAACTGTAGCAGGGGCGAAGGGGCTACACGTCCGTCACCGGTAGAGTTACTAACTCAGTTAGGTCAGGTGAAGATTGGCATTCCGTCTTGCTTCATAGATGTAGGTCTTAATTATCCAAGCGTGATCATTGCTGTCGACATGTGCCATCTTCAAAGGATCCCTTTAGCTTCTTCGTTTCTGTTATCTCATCCCATATTGGAATCTTTTGTTGATTGCAAAATTGGAGCTTTTTCTACTGCGATCCACAGTGTTGATTTGTCTGTTTGATCAACTTCGCCTTTCTCTGTCTTTGATATAGTCCGTTAGTCCGTTACTTTATGAGGCATAGTGTGTGTTGGCAACTTGGCAGTAACTAAGAGAGCGAGCGAGATAGAGAGGGCAAGAGAGATAGAGAGCAAGAGTGAGAGCGAGATGCATGCACTATAGCTGATCGAGGCAGCCAGTGGAGCTATTATTACCTCCGCGCAAACGGAGGTCATGCAATCGCTCACGTGTGTGTGTTCGTGTGTGTGTGTAGCCAGCAGCGAGCCAGCTGTTATACACACGTTCAACCGATCGATCGATTCAGCACCAGCTTGCCTTAGGGCGTCCAGTCAGCAGCAGCTCGCCTTAGGGCGTCCAGTCAGCAGCAGCTCGCCTTAGGGCGTCCAGTCAGCAGCAGCTCGCCTTAGGGCGTCCAGTCAGCAGCAGCTCGCCTTACGGCGTCCAGTCAGCAGCAGCCAGTAGTGAGCCAGCTGTTATACACATGTATACATGTTACACGCTCGCGGAGGTATGCACTCTCTTTGAGTGCCCTCTGTCTAGTATTGATATTTGATTGGATAAAACAGTGGAGTTTTATTGCCTAAACCAGTGCTGTGCTCTCCCAGCAATAATGTGAGTTGTAAGTAGGATATTATCTAGGATTGAGAAAGGGAATGTCTCAAGTGACTGAAAAACTTGTCTTAACAATATACACACACACACATGTGAGCGGACGGCTATATGGCGCGCCTTTTCATTTGTTTTCAGATCTGTATAACGTTAGGGAGTTACGTAGTAGCAGGAGTAGATAATATCTACCTATTACCTATACCTATACCTATTATCTACTCCTGGTAGTAGAAGTTACTACTACGTGTTGTACGTGTCACTGCGTTATACAGTGTTGCTACAGAAGCCGTTCGCTGCGCTAGCGTTCGTGCGTGTATGGCGGTGCGTGTGTGCGTTCGGCGATGTAGAAATTCTGTCAATCAGGATGTTATGATAAGTGTACTAGTAAACGATATAGTGGTATGACGTCATCTCGGGTACTTTTATAGACGAGAGATAGAATAGCTATGCACATCTGACCAATAACATTTATAGGATTTTGTAGTTTGTTGAGTACCGTCCAACCACGTGGCATTGGCTTGCCCAGACGATTTTATGATATTCATGTACGATGAATAGTGAACATATTTTTAAGAAATATTCAATTAAATAATTTCTGCTGACAATGTATCTACTGATGTTAAATGTCTGTTTTTTTTGGCATTTTACTTTGTTCATTATTTGTACTAATATTTTATTCGCTCATGTCTTTGGCATAGCGGTAGCAACCTGGTCAGCCACCTGGTGGAATCACCGTAATCTGCTTCATATACATGCACACATCGATATCGTATGCGAAACCAGGCATTACTATGGGTAACAAGCGGTAAACCGACGCGGCACACGCGCACGCACCAATCAATCCGTCTATCCACAGCGTGGTGATTCTGATGGTATATATTATCCTGTATTTTCATTGTGTTTAAATGTATTAAGACCAGATTCGTGACCTAACTGGCTTTGGTCTAGGTAGTTTCTCAGCAATAATGCCCATTTCATCATTCCAGACGCCTGTCATATTATGGTATCATGGGTATAGGTATAAAAGTCATGATAACTACCACTAAGCTGCCACTCCGCCAAGGTTATCATATCAGAATATGTCCCACACACATGGAGGATTACAAAAATCAATACTAGACTTTGCCACCTCAGGTGGTACCAAGAAGTGATTTTTTGGGTCTGAGCCCATGGACTATATCTGTGAGTATATGCCCATGTGCCCATGTTATCTCTTGCACACGCTATAGCTGCAACAATATCCAATACTAAATTGTTAAATAATCCCGAATTTGTACTAACATAGCTACAATGTATATATCATTATATATTGTATTTATTACCTCCGCGCAACGGAGTTGCAACGGAGGTCATGTAATCGGTCTCGTGTGTGTGTGCGTGCGTGCGTGCGTGCGTGCGTGCGTGTGTGGCCTTGGCGTGATCGGTAGCGCGTCGAGTCAGCGAGTGGCGAGTCAGCAGCAGCCACCAGTGAGCGGCGAGTCAGCCAGCGCGATCGATAGCGCGTCGAGTCAGCGAGTGGCGAGTCAGCAGCAGCCACCAGTGAGCGGCGAGTCAGCAGCAGGCGAGACAGTCAGCAGCCGCCACCAGCGAGCACATATATGTTAGAAGAAGCTCGCGGAGGTATGAACTCTCCGTGAGTGCCCTCTGTCTAGTTACCTCCGCGCATATATATATAGTCTGCTATATTGAATGATTAGATAATAGTTATGTGATATCTTTTTTTGTTACAGAATTCGTAGCCTGTCAAAGGCTTCGGTTGCAGGCAAATTACCATGCTCCCTTGTCCTTGTGGAAAATGATCAAGCTATTGGCCACAGTCGTATCTGTACCACTCAAGGAAAAGAAACAGCATGCTATATAGAGTCAGGTTAGTAATGAGTATCACATTCGTTATGCAGCCAGGTTACACTTTTATTAAACTTTACCATGGAATTGAACTGATATCGTGGATGTATAAGGGAGATTTTTTATTTGATGTTTGATTAGTAAAACATATATTACATTAGTAAGTAATTTGGATCATAAAGATTAATCTTTTGGACGTGCAGTGTCAATTGAATTTAATGACAAAGCAATAGCATTATTTCAGCTGCTATAGACAGAGAAGGATGATGTAATGCCACTATTACTATTAGTTTAGCGAGTCATGTATAGGTAGAGTCTGATTAATTCGCAAGCAACTGTGATAATACAACTTGAATTTGTTCAAATTAGTTGTTATCAGCAAGGAAAGACGGGGAGAAGGCCTAGGAAGGCTTTTAATGGAGCATACGGAGCAGTACGCAGCAACGTAAGTACTTGTGAATGCCATTAAGACTCAAAATAGCAAAACCTATACATAAGAAACATGTCAAGTTGGTCTCAGATGCATAATGATGACTTAACAGAATTTATTATGAGTTGCATTAAAAGATTCTGCCCTACATATGCTAGATATATTTTATCTTAATGTCTGTCATTTATAGCTTACAAATTTTCAATTGATTAATAGATAATTTATGCCCTTGAAAAGTAATAGGATGCTTAGCCTCCATTGTGAAAGCCTGAAAATGGTAATTGGTATATTGTGAACTCGTGATCAGTTACTAAATGTTGTAAAGTTCAAAATTAGTCGGTGTTAGTACTAATGAATTGCAGACTTGGATTTACCGAAGCGTATCTGTCTACGCAAGATAAGCAAGACTTCTATGGGCACATAGGCTATGAGTACACTAGTCCAATTGTCAGCTTGGGCAGTCATGCAGACCTTATAAGTGGACAGCAGGTTAGTAATACATGAAATATATTAAACTCATTGATGTTCCATCACTATACGTCGGTAATGCGAAACTTGTCTATGTTACAACATAGATAAGTACGTTACAAAGGAGTGCGTTATCATCTGAGTTTATTGCAAATGTTTACCACTGGGGGCAGTGCATGGTTAAATTGCTTCAAAAAATTCTGCTAGAACATCGGTGGCATTACAGGAGCAAGTATATTAGTATACAAACATGAAGGTTAGTAAGTGTGTCTCTGCCCTTACACGTTTCTCAATATGCTACACGTGGCTCGCATAACTATATTAAACGCTTTCCACTTCACTTGTAGTTCCAACAGTTACGGGACTTGTTGGGTAGAGTCAGTGTTAGTTCCGACACAAACAGGGGCGGTGGTACTTTGGAATTGAATAACGTGCCCAAGTCGAAAACTGCAGCTGGACAAGCTAAATCTGTGGCACTCCAATGGCCTTCAATGCAACCGAGCCATGGAATACCTGTGGCAAATCCTCCTGTATCAGGAGCACCTACCTATCCAGGACCCCCACCACCACCACCACCACCATCATCACCACCAGCAATGCCAGCAGTAGTGCCATCTGCAAATGAGAAGTTTTGGATGAAGAAAGCTTTGAGTCAAACATGTGTGCAATAATATCTAGATAACCATTGAGTTTATTCATTAAGGAAGTGCAGTATGTAACCTAAACCTTTTTGCAGGAAACCGATATTGGTTGCCAAGGCAACTTGTGATAAGTGAATGACCTCTAATGTTGGTTGACATATCTTTGTGCCAAATGCTTGCTATGCTGTCGTGAATGTCCAGAGTTTGTAACAATACTTAATTATGAAATATCTCAATTCATTTGTCATAATAATAACGTATAGTATTTATTTTACACGTGCATCAAATTTGTTTCTGTTGCATAAAAAAAGACAAATTTGAAATATAAAATCTTCAGCTGTTGATCTATTGTATTTGATATTATTACAAATGAACAGTTTTGGCACAGCTGCAGAAATTGGAAGAAAACTGCAACTGGAAAGCTCTCACTGAATAAAAGATGCAAAAACAAGTTTTGATATTACAACACACACAGTCTGTGCACACAAGTACACTCATGATAAGAATATACTATTAGTTATCTGCACTACTATTCTAGTATATCTGTGTATCAAAACCTGCACAAGTTTCATAAGATTGTTTGCTGTACATATACTACGATTATCTATACAGCACAACTTATTGTTGCAGCACATGCAAAAGAATCACACTTGCATACACACACATTTCAAAATTCACGCACACACACGACTACTCCACACCAATCCACACACTCGAGTATACCAAGTATTACACAATAAAAGCCTGCTGTCAGTGATATAACTACTCAAATAAATTAAATCTTCTAAGTACTGAATGTTACACACAAATAAACAAGTTATAAGGCTGGCTCCCATTATACTGTTACATTATACATTTTATATTGTTATATTGTGATAATGAACACAGCATCTGTTAAAAACTTCACACAGTAAACACTAATAATCAGTGAAATACCTAATTATAATTATTACAAAATAATTTCTATCGTGATTATAAATGTTTAATTCAAATGAGTGAAAATTATAACTGTGGGCCAGGATATTAATGTTAAAAGGATCCCATCATTTTGAAATCCCAAGTTAAAACCCGTAACATACAAAAACTACTGCTAAAAGTAGATTTTTAAAAGCCACAAACAAGGTGGCAATCAACGCGATAACTAATATGGTTATAGCACCCTTGTTTCTGTGCATGTTTACAAAATCTATAACGACCACAAAAAAGTAGACCTTGTCAAATTTACTAGCTTAGCCCTGTAGCAGAAATCTGAAGTACCAAACTGGCAGCATAATACTTACTAGGAACTCGCTCGGTTATAGAAACCAATTATTGTTGCTGCTCTGCAGAAGTAAACATTGTACCTCAACTACCGAGCGAGTAATCAAGAGCACATTATTCGTTTCCAGTTATAGCACGGAGTATTATTTTAAGTGTATCCTTTTGAGTTGTCCAGCTAAGAGTAAAACACTGCATCAGAGATAAACAACTCTAGACCAGTGAAGGGCTAATGTAACCGCCTTGCATGATATATGCGAAAATTACTACTAAAACCATTGAAGAGGTGCTTGTTAACATATTTAAAAAAAAACGTTAACACTAACAGCCTTTAGCAGATGGCAGCACTTTGCATTAAAGCTGATTTCACACAATAATGATGCATAATGCACATGAGCTATTGTATTTTAGCTGCTTTTTAGACCAAAGCAGAGCTGACTATCATTTTGCACTTCCATTTACATTTCCTCCGAGCCTGGGAGATTTGATTGTTTCTGGTTTAACCGGCTCAAGTTTCTTGAAACCAGAAAGCACTCATTTCTTCCCACCGTCACTACTCCAAAACGTAGATGACCATACGAAAACTTCACTGGCTCTTACTTACATAACTAGATTATATTTCCTGCTGCTACAGCTTCCTTCTTAAACAAAAAAATTCTCGGCACCTGGTCTTTGTAAAATGAGCAGTGGCATCTGGCAATGCATCCCTCTTCACATTGCAGAAGTATCTTTCTCCCTCTCTGTCACCCTCTTTCTCTTTCTCTCTCCTATCAGTTGGCAGAAGATAATTTTCTGTTAAGCAGTCAGAAGAGGACTCTACCTATTTGGTGGAAGGCAGATGCGATTAAATTCTTCTTGTTACACTTAAGTAAGTGACACTGCATGTAGCAGCTTCTCACGTGGTAGCTGAACATCATTAAACGATCTGCCACTGCATGATGCTCATGTCCTTGCCACCGGTTGACACAAGCCTTGTGTCATCGTAGAGAAAGTGAACATTTGTCACATGACTGCTGTGTCCCCCATATGCATGGCAACCAGACTGCAACAGAAGACACAAATGGCGCACACATTAGAATACAAGTTAAACCGTCTATTTATTGACATGACATATTTTTTTGCAAGAAATACCTGAATACGTTAGCTAGTTATTAGCCTCGTTCACACGAGACCTCGTATTTATGAAATACGGTATTTGCGAAATACCGAATCTGAGACAAATACGCCAGATTAACATCGCCACCTTGCTTATTCCAGGGCCTAACCGCATTGTATCCATTGTCTCGGTGGAATTCTAATTTTATATTATTTGTTGTGCAGGTATATGGCCAGAAGGGAGTGACGGTACAGACGTCAACAGCTGTGGACGAGGCAATCAGGGCAAAGTGTTGGCTACGGGAGACGACTTCGGGAAAGTAAAGTTGTATCCTTATCCCTGCAACAGACCAAAGGTTTGCGGTTTGTGTGTTGTTTTTCCTGACATTTTATTTTGAAAACTTGTTGCATGATGTTCACTGGCAACTGATCAACCCACTAATCACGAAGTCTAATAGGGGATTGACAGTGGTATTTTTATCTTATGAAAGATGCTGCTGGTAATATTGCTGAAGATACCCTACTGATAGGTTTGCACACAACTAACGCAAATTTATTCCCTAATGTTTTTCTCAAACTAAACACCAGAATTTAATAAAACCACTTGTTTTAGGAACGCATAATAGCCGCGTTCACACGTAGCAAGAAATTTGGTATTTAGCGTTTAACGAGGCAAAATGCACCGGTCCAAGAAATACGGTAATCTAAACAGATTCCCGGTAATTTGTTGAAATACGCGGCTTCCCCCAGACCCCGAATAATCTTTGCCGTTGCTTGAGAACATACCGGATCTCTTGGACCGCGCATTTTCCGTCGTGTGAACCGCTAAATACCGTAATTTCTGAAGCCGCGTATTTTATAGAACTGGTTCCCGCGCTCAGACAGTTCAGTGTCAACGGCGAAGTGGAATGTCGGAGCGCGACAGTCTAACGTATTTTATCGGCAGTTGGTGCGCATTGCATTGTTTATTTCGCATTGTTCGCTTGATTGTTACTAAAGCAGCTGTAGCTCGCGCAAATACGGGTCACTTCTGGAGCAGCGAATCGACAGCGTGTGAACGCTCGAGCC